AGTGAATGGGTCACAAGGAACTGTTGTTAGTATTGTATTTTCAGACAATCAAACAATGCCTTATGGAGTAAAAGTCCTATTTGATGACCCACGAGTAGGGAAACTTTTTAAAGACTCAACAACACAAGCAATTTTAATAAAACCAGTTACTGTTGACTTTTTTGGCAAAGAAGGAATTCAGATTCAGAGAACTCAAATACCACTTATGCCATCATGGGCAGTAACAATTCACAAAAGCCAAGGAATGACTGTGTCTAATGTTGTAATCAATTTGGGACCCAAATGCAATAAACCTGGACAGGCATATGTAGCATTAAGTCGTGTACAATCTTTACGTGGTCTTGCACTAACAGAATTCACTGAAAAGTCTATAAAAGTTTCAAGAAAGGTTACTCAGGAAATGCAACGACTATTAAACCTAACAAGAGACACACAACTGCCAGATAATTAATTAGCCTTTCTCACAAAGGTCTAAATTATATATCTGCCATTTTTGGATCACTACTTTATAAACAACGTGAAAAATCTAAGCGATGTGAAAATAATTTTTCAAATATTTAACTGTAAATCGATTTATAATCATTATGTATACAGTACTATAGTTCTAGAAAGTTTCATTTTCACAGCTTACTATCCCTGTTGTAAAAAGGTTGCCACCCTAAAATGTCGGTGTGAGAAAGGCTAATTAGTTAACATTTTCTTATTTTCTTTTAAGATGTCATTTCAAACTGTCTCTGACCTGAAAAACCTTTCATCATCTGATGAAAAAGCAATTATAACAAAACCGATTAAAGTTAAAATTATTGTGGATCCAGTGTACCATCATGATGATAATCCAACCACACCAAATGTCATTGTCATGAGTATTGTTGCTGATGATTCAGGCACAATCAAATGTCACATTTCAAACGAAAAAGATATTGTCAAAAAATTCTTTCAGAAAAACACATCAATTGTTATTTTAAAGTGCACCATAACCACTTGTGATGAAGAGCTAGCCTCAATTGAACATCAACATGCAATCAAGCATCTTCCTTGTTCCAATATTCAACTTGAAACAAAACTTACACTGCCACTCCTACCATCCTTCCCAACCATCAAATTCACCCCAATAGCAGAGGCATTGAAACTTCCTAGAAAACGACAAATATCCATTGAGGGAAAAATTACAAAGGTACGTATGAGTGATTGCATTTGCCAAAAAAAGCTTTGACTAGTATTCACTTTCTGTTTAGCTCCTAAGAAGAATAAATTGCTGCATATATGTACCCTATTCCCTAAAGTAGAAAAGTTTGCCAGTATATTTATGTCTCTAATTTAAAAACTGTTTCTTAGATGGTGAGTACATACAGTACTATATGATCCAACTTTGTATCTGAAACCCTTACTTGCTATAAAAGTGTAATTATAATAGTCTGTAACAACTATATTAGTGTGTTTTAATTCTACCTCTACTATGTACTGTAGATTGAACCACCAATAAAGGTAAAAAATAACTCGATAGACCTCAAGAAAGTGTTCTTGAAAGACACAACTGGGATGATGCAAGTATCCCTCTGGAAAGATAAGGCATCCCTACCACTTTCCCAAGGTGACGTTATCTCATTTACTGGACTACAGACATCAATGTTCCAGAATAAACCAATGGCATCTTCAACAACTCAAACTCAAGTGAATTAGGTAAGTGAAAAATTATAATAGCTGAAAAAAACAGATCCTAACTCTTCAGTAGCATGAGAAATATTTCACTGTTATCTAGAACAATACACCCTTTTGATAATTACATCATTTGACCTGGGAGCCTAGCTCTCGTGAATCATGAGCCAATCACCTTGCATAATTTACTGATGAGAGCAAGGCTCCAAGACCAAAAAATATATGCGACATAATTATCGAAAGGGTGTATTAATCTCATCATCTTTTTTTGTGTGATTTACAAAATCCAAATATATTCTATAAAAATTAAATAAGTCACATAAATTGAAAGTCTGACATAGCTTATTGCATAAAATCAAATATGCAAGAGCTTCTTTTTCCATCTTATGAGCAATATACATATAACGTCTGTAGTCCACATTATTGTTATGCTCTATTTGCCATAATTGCACATACCTTTTCTGTACTTATAACACAAAGCTTATAGTCCTCACTTATAACTTGCGACACTGCTGCTTGAACTTACAGCAGCTATATATTGTCTTAATTTATGCTTGAATAGGTGTCTGAAAACCAGGACTTGATCCTCATTGACACTGATGATGAATATGATCAACTCTACAAAGATGGAACCATCATTGGCATTCAAAATGTTATTTGCTACAACAGCTGCAGTAACAAACAATGCATGAACAAAAAGCTCGATTCCACCAACCAGTGCCCGCGTTGTTCAAAAATTTATCCTGATGACAAATTGCAAAAAGCATACGTGAGTAATCTCTGCCTTCAGACTGAAGAAGACTTAAAGTCTGTCACAGTGTTCCAAAAACTATTCATCCAACTTTTCACCATTGATGAAAATGAAAACCGCCAGGAGAGTTGACAGCTGCGCTGCTACAAAAACTACCAATCTCCCTAAAATACAAGGAGAACGATGATATTATTCAAGAGATCATTCTTCTCTAACATCCTTCCAAGAAAACAGTGTACTACATAGTTGTGTTTTTGTTGTGTTTAATAATACAAGTGGACACCCTCACCCCTCATGACTAGACTTGGTTTCTGCCTAAGAGAGGTTTATAGTACTAATATATAATAGCTGTGTTTTGACTAGGACCCAAGAACAGTGTCTGTCTACAAGAGGTGTCCATATTAAGTAGAGGTGGACAGTATACAATTTTCATATTACTTAATTGCATACCATGAGTATTAACATTTGACATTTGCATGCAAATTCTCTATTGCTGTATAATATATCCCGGCGTACTTACAGGTAATCGATTTTTATCGATTTATATATCCTAAACACAGTGTGAGCATGTTCAAGCTATTATCTGTTCCCATTTTTCGAAGGTACACATGTATTCGATCTGTATGCATGGCCAGATAAAAAGTTAATTAATTCAATCATTTTACTGAATTCCGTTAACATTTTTTTTGTCACAACATTAATTAAAGTATGTATATTAATTAAATTACAGCGCTACCTGTTTGATTGCATGCATAGTAACACAGGTTTTTCCATCAATGAAAATCGATAAAAAATCAATAATCGATGAAAGTCGCACCAAATTTACAAAGTTACAGATATTCATTGATTTGTAATATCAATCGATTATTTAATACATGTACTGTAAATATCAATTGGTATTGATTGATATAGATATTTATCGATTAAGTACGCCCGGGAATATATATAATTAAGCCTATTAAGCATAAATACTTTAAGAGGTGTCCATATTAATTAAGTAGATGCAACGACTTGGTCGACTGTATAATTAGTATATATTCTTCATATTATTTAATTGCATGAGTATTAACATTTGATATTTGCATGCAAATTCTGTATTGCTGTACAATATATATAATTAAGCGTATTAAGCATAAATACATTTAATATTTGTACCAAAGGCAAACCCTTACTAATATAAAAATACATTTTTTCACAAATTTGGCCATGTGCATCTTTAGTTTTTCCCACTTATTATAAAAATATCAGTTTATAGGCTTGGATTTGTTCGGTGAACAGAAAATGAACCGCCAATTTCCGTCATTTAGCAAAGAGCCAAAGAATATATTAAATCAGATGCAAAGGATTTTATACAAAAACTATAAATATACATACCTGTCCAATTGTCGTCCACCCATGCTTCGTAGCCTTGTTGATAAATGTTAATTTCATGAATCAGTGTGTGTGGACCAAGGACGCCAGAAATATTTGTGTATCTTTATACTATTAAACCTTTTAGATAATATAGAATTTCGTCGCCATTTTGAAGTATTTTTATAAATAGCGGTATATATTTTTAATACCACTATTAGCAATTTAGCCGTCTTGGAGCGGTGATTTTTTTGCCTGCAAGCAAATTTTGTCCGCCAATCTACAGGCACGATGATTTATATTTGAAGTATTTTTAAAAATTTTAAAACAAAGCGCCAACAGCGGTATATATTTATTATATAGTTTTCTTTGTTTTTCCTCATTTTAAATACTAATGCTAATACTACTAGGTAATGAAAATTACTAAAACGTGCAAAAAATTACCAGAACCCGCCCGCTTCACAAAATGAACCAGTGATCTATTGGTCACAACCGCTAATTAAAGACGTCTAGTATTTCTATAATTATATTGGAACCACGGGAACGAAACATTATTTCTTTTTTCAAAGAAATATTTCCTTGCTATTTTTGGAACTGCTACTTTTTGGCGGGTAAATACTTCACAAACCTGGCGCCAAAAAATTTAAAATATGCTATAGGTGATTTCATGTATCCATTTAGAAGAGCAGACTAAGGATATATTAAAACTGAAATCAGTTTCGAATACAACCATCAGGGACGTAGCAAAGCATCTGACGTTGGGGGGGGGGGGGGGGGGGATGTCGGAGGGTTATACGTGTAATAATTATAATATAGCTTTTTGTGATTGATTGGCACTCTCATGGTGATCGCTAGATAGTATACTTCAAAATAAGGTTTCCGTTTTTATAATGTAGAAAAAACTATCCTAACGCAAAACTAAACTCTAACCCTAATACTAACCCTCACCCTAACCCTAACCTAACCCTAGCCTAAACCCTAACCTAACCCTAACTTATTTTAATTATTTTAAAAATTGATATAAAAACGGAAACCTTATTTTGAAGTATACTATCTAGCAATTGCCGCACTCTCATACTAAATTTTGGGAGAAAAGGGGGGTCTGGGGCTGACTCTTCCACAGTCCCTTATCCGTTATCCGTACGCGCGGTCGCGTTAATTTTTCCCATTAAGCACCGCGCTGCCATTGTTTTTCCACTGATCTCTATTCCCAACTGAAGCGACGAGGGACGAGGCAGGGTCTCGGGGTCCTCCCCCAGAAAATTTTCACATTTTTGAAGCTCTAGGACTAAATTTCCGGCGTTTTCTAAAGCAAATTCGCAAACAAATTGCATGTAAATGGACTGTATTTTACAAAAATGGTTATCATTTCACAAAAATAATTACTTTATTACGCAAATTTTACTTGAAAATCAGGTCAAAATTTTAACTTGAATTTAACATGATTTTGCCTGAATTTCACAGTAGGGGGGGGACTTTACACCCTCCTCCCACAACCCCCAGTTGCTATGTCCCTGACAACCATTCCTTTCGAAGATATAATGACTTAAATTTCTAAAAATACGCCATTTTGTTCTATTTTTAGTAACAATATGGCGGTTTTTCGACATTTGTATCGCTGTATCTTCCCATAAAATGGTTGTATTTAGAAACAGATTTCAGTTTCATTAATTAAAGTACTCTTGGTCTGCTCTACAAATGGGCTCAGTAAATCACCAAAAGCTTATTTTAATTTTTTGGCGCCACGTTTGTGACATAATTTACCCGCCAAAAAGTAGCAATTCCAAAACAAAAAAAAAACGATTTGTAAGAACGATATGTTCTATATTCATGGCAAATTTGGTAGAAACAGAATGAAAATTTCAGAAATTGAAGCATATTGGTGCTTTTACATGCATTTTTGACAGGCGTGTTGCAGCCTTCTTTTACGTATTCCATGTGGAGTTCCCCCATGTCAATTAATAATATAGAATAGACAGTTTGGAAATCATTAGAATAGCAATATAACTCATTATCTATGTTAGTCAACGTTTATTCATAAACATATTCTTTCACCGTGACGTATGTATTATATTTTTGCCATGTCCACCAATAGCAATTTTCAATTTATCCTATTGTTTGAGTCATGGATAGGCAACTTTCCTAAAACATATTGCTTTTGGTTAGTCGGGCAAAAATACAATACTCACGTGACGGTAAAAGACCAGATCTATGAATTTTATTGTTCACTAACATAAGTAATGAGTTATATTGTTATTCTAATGAGTTTCCAAACCATCTATTCTATTAACTATGGTGGGAGTGAACACTCCAGGCCCCTGCTGGACCAAAACACGTTGAAAAGTTTAGAGCCCCCTCCCCCCTTCAGTATATCGAGAACTTTTAGAGCCCCCCCTTTAATGCTGGAAAATATTTCGGTG